GCTTGGGAGAAGAGGGGAAAATCCAACATAAATTTACCTATGGGAATGAACAGAGAGATGTTAAGCCAGGAATAACCTCGTGGACCCAGGTATTTCTTCTGCAATAAACGTTTATCTGTTTTAAAATCATTTCTATCGAGTGGTCTGTCTGCCTTAGATTGGACAGAGAAGCAAGTTGTCCTGTCTAGGTCAGAACAGTGATGTTTTTTGCCTTTGCGGAGCTGGGGTGGGTGTGGGCTGCACGTGATGCATATGGCCCTCGGGCCGCCAGTTTGACACCCCCTGATACATGAAGCTGCTGAATAAACTCATGTGGAAGCAGCCAAGTGATACTATTAAGATACTGTCACAGTGCCTGAAGATTATTATAGTCTGGATGTGAAGAAAATTGGCTTAAACCCAACCTTAGCAATATTTAGGGGGCTGTGGGCCCATGGCTCATTAGATTTTGTAATTTACCAACTTGGGCTCCAGAGGGAATTACACTTTTCTTTTCTAAATGGAACGGGTACACAATCTGAGCTCTTTTCTGGACTCAGAGAGAGGCAGTTGATAGCTCTCGTCAGGAAAACTTTTTCACATATTTGTCTTATATACCAAATGCATCCCTTCCTGGACCAGAACCTGGACCTTTCTCGTGATTAATCCTGTAATCACTTTATACATACATTAGCCCTTGTGCCTACCCTTGGGGAGTTATAACTAGTCCAGAATGCCTCAGTATGTCTCTATAACAGCTCTGTTACCAGTGGGCTTCCAGGTGCAACTTAAGGTTCCAACCAGGGCTTTTTTTGTCATGGAACGCCCAGAACGGAGTTCGGGCACCTTTTTGGGATGGAACCTTGTAGGGTAGGCAAGGCAGGTTATATGACATGTGTGAGTTCCGGCACCTTTTTTTTCTTTTTTTCAAAAAAAGCACTGGTTCCAACCATTATATATAAAACATTACATTGCGTAAAGATGGATATTTGTGGACCATGTTTCTCCAATTGTTTGTGCCCATCCTATATATTTGGGGTTCAAGAATGCCATCCTTTGAAATCCAGGAGGAGTGTCTTTTTTGTTGCTGAACTTTGGTTGGAAAAAAAAATCAGGAACAGCTGATCTGTTGGCGGAGAAGGTAAGAAATTTGTGCTGGCCATAGAATCAAAGGACTTTATAATAAATACTGTAGAGAAGCAAAGAAAGAAACAAGATCTCCAAGGGATAATGATGGAGACTCCATGTGAGAATGAATTCGTCATGGCTTTTAAATGCCCACGAGGATGGGAAAATTCAGGAAATTGTTAATAAAAGTGCACAACATGTTGCAATGGCAGCCAACTACATTTATAGATTTTTTTTTGAATGAAAAATTAAAAAAATGCAATTAGTTTTTCTTTTGAAACAACAGTACAGTAGGTACACATTTTGGAGTGAAATTTGCCATTTTTTTAGTCAGTGAGTTACATCCAGATGATAGGAGCTCATAGTTATCAGTAGTTCAGCATTTCGGGAAGCCTCAATCTCAGCAGTAAAACAGATGGAAAAGGATCAGGAGCCCTGGGAAGATAATGAATTCTCTGTCAATGATCTTGAAAATTACCTTTTTCAGCAACAAAAGATGCAAAATGTACTGGGGAGGGCATAATTACTGTAAAAGGCAGCTGTTAGCCCAGCTGCAATAACCTTGCATTGTGAATTTTGAGGAAAGGTGTATCTGTTGTCTTACCTCACAAGAGATTGGCAAGTGACTCAAGCATTCAGCTGCTAGTTGTGGAAGTCTGTTCAGTCAAACTGAACTAATCATTGGCGTGACTTGCAGGTTATAAAACCTGTAAGCGACCAGTAATATAGGGCAGCACAACACAGCAAAGAATAATGGCAATATAGAATAAAATTGTGGGTCTTGTTCTCCCATGCTTATTGAATCATTTATTGTTTGTTGATGTGGCTGTGTCTTTTCATTGTATTTTCTCAACAAATCTTATATAGTATGACTGTTAGAAAGCAAAATGTAAATCATAAAACTACAATGCAAGAGTGCACTACTAATTTTTAATTATTGTTTCTTCCTCCACATTATTCTTTGCAGTTCTTGAAAGATTGTTGGTTAATTCTGCTGTAGTTGTGGCAGCCTCTAGTGGCCGAAGAAGCAATTGAACTCAAAAGTCTACAAATTCAGGTTCTTTTTAATGCTACATTCATCTGTGTATACCAGGGGTGTCCAAACTTTTTTCAAAGAGGGCCAGATTGGATGAAGTGAACGTGCTGGAGGGCCGAACATTTTTCCGAACATTCTTTGAACCATTACAATTAAATGCAAATGAATTATTTTATGCCTCTTTCCTCTCCCTCTCTTTCCTCTTTCTCTCTCTCTCTCTCTCCTTTCCCTTTCCTCTCCCCTCTCTCTCT